GAACTAAATATCCACAATGAATGAACTAAAAATCCACAATGAATGAACAACATAATGCTGCTGAAGGGAATTGAAACTGAATTATTATTTTTTAAATGGGATGCGCGTTTTTAGTCAAAACGACATCGTTTTGCAACCGTGTGCACCATGCATAGTGCACACGGTTGCACAGCATAAATATTGGGCAGATCTAGCAACCAGTCACCTAATGTAAATTCAAACTAAAACTAGTTACCATGTAGTATAATAGCAATTTGTCAACTACCATGTAATGTGATGGCATCTCGGTTACCATTCCAAATGGATGGTCATAAGTTCGCACCCTGGTGGAGGAGGCTTAGATTTTTTTGGGCTGAAAATGTTTGAGAAAGTATAGAACAGATACTATCTTGTAAAAAATCTATAAGAGTATTTAAAAAAAAAAAAAAATTAAAACTAGTTATAACTTTTGGTGTAGTGGTAAGTTTTTCATTTTTTTCTTTTATTTTTTTATTTTGCATATTGTACTAAAACTAATTCAATCAAATCTCAATCCAACCTATTCGGTGACAACCTTCCCAAATAATATATGTAATTTCAATAACACATAGCTAGCAGTATTCCATATTCCATTCTAGAAAATCCCAATAATTTAGTTAATAATGTATGCAACCAAGCTTTCAAAAAAAAAAAAATGTATGCAACAAATTCTCTTAACTATTTAAACGCGTCTTTCGTGCAAGATAGGATTACCATTTTTGGGGGGTAAGGAATGTGTACAATTTTTTTGTCCAATAGCCCATTTATTTTTACTTTCTTCTTGAGGTTAGTTTGCAACGAAAGTTCATCACATTTAATTCAATCACTCTAATGACTTTTCATACATAAAAAAGAATAAGGGAAATTAAACACTTCAACTAAATAAAATTGTGTAATCAAATCCTTTATTTACCAGTAATCAATAGATTACTAGTACGTACGTAAAAAACGATAATATGGTATTTTATACTATTTTTTTAGAGTTTCAATAACCATATCCGTTGATCGCGTTCTTTGGTGAAAAAGTAACCGGTGGTCGCATACTTGAGGAATGAAGCGACCACTTCCTCAACTTGAAGAAGTGACTTGCAAATGTGTCACCAATGTAAATATTTTAGTTAGTTTTTTTTTTTTTTTTTTTTTTTTTTAGGAATAAGATTCAAATTGACCACTGAACGTAACCTGAAAATACAATTAGACTACTAACGAAAAAAAATGCAATTAAGCCACTGAACACTCCAAATGTATGAAATTTCACCTAATAGCAAATTATCTTCAATTTTAGCCGGTTACCTGCTTATGTGGCAGTCAAATTGGCATTTTTAATCATTTTAAATAATTTTGAATAAATTTTAATACTGTAACAATTTAAAAAAAAAAATTAAAGACGGCTGGCCACCCGTCATTTTATTTTTATTTCATTTTTTTCAATTTTTTTAAAAAAATTTATTATTAAATTTATTTTAAAATTATTAAAAATGTCAACTCAGCTGCCACGTAAGCAGGTAACCTACTAAAATTGATGGTAACCTGCTATCCGGTGAAATTGCATATATTTGGAGTGTTCAGTGACCTAATTGTATGTTTTTTGAGTGTTCAGTAACCTTATTGCACTTTTTTTTTCGTTCAGTGGTCTAATTGCATTTTCAGGTTACGTTCAGTGGCTAATTTGAACCTTAGTCTTTTTTTTTTTTTTGGGGGGGTAATTTGAGACTTGTCACATAAGCATGCATTACTGGCTTTTACATGTGGTTAATTGACTATTGGGTCCAGAATCCAGATGCACAAAAAATGACAAGTTATGAGATATTCAATTGTAACTTTTTAAAGTTCAGATACATACCTAATTGTTTTTGCATATAAAGTTTAAGGGTCAGATTGACCCTTTTTCTCTAATGTTTAAGATGTTTCATTATTTTATTAGACTCTTTTATGTATTGAATCCAAAAAAAAAAAAAAAAAAAAAAAAAAAAAAAAAAAAAAAAAAAAGACTCATTTATGTACATTTCATTATGACAATTAAATCATGACAAGATCAGTTAATTCATAGGTAATTAATAAACATTAAAAAATTCTTTTTAAAAACTTTATAAATTAAAAGATTAATATTAAAAGTGAAATTACAGTTGAAAAATAATATTTTTTAATATATTTTGGTGTGTGTTCTGCATCCATGTGGAGTAATACCTGGTTTGATATCTCACACAATTATCAAAAATTTCAATTACATTTGGCACATCAAATATGCTCAACATTTGTAAATATTTAGAGTAATATTTACTAAATTATACTCCGTAGCTATTTTTAAGTGACCAGGCCATTTTATATTCATATATAATAAAATAAAAAATGCACCTACGATTATCTCAAAAAGAGTGATTATGTGAGTAAATTATAATTCTCATATTTGAAGGTCATGAGTTTAATTCTTATCAACACATTTTCAACCAACCCCGTCATACAAGGTCAGCAAGGTAGACACGTACTAGACACAAAAGTATAATAATACATTGTATATACCGACAGTTTTTGAATTTTAAAAAATAAAATGGATCAAATTTTACCACAATTAAAAATTGCCTAAAACTACAACAAACAATAAAAAGTTTAAATAAACCAGAAAATAATTTTAAACAATAATTCATGTGGTCCCAAAATTTTGTCTTTTTTCAAATAGCATTAACATTTTAATTGGAGTCGAGTGAGTAGTACTCAAAAAAATATTTTAATTGGATTAATAGATCGAGCTAGTATTTAAATTCTTTTTTTTTTTTACTTGAATAAAATATATTGTATTATATGATGTGACTAAGTATATATCACACTCATCATTTATAATTATTAACCATATCTTTCATATGAACTGATTATCCAACATAGGTTAAATAGATTATTCTACACCAGTAGCATTCAAAAAAAAAAGATTATTCTACACCAAATAATTTAAAATTTGATAGGAAAAAAAAAAAGTTGATTCAAGTAAGGCCCCATGAACACTAATATTTTATATCTTTGATTTAAAAAAAAAAAAAAAACATATTATTTAGGGAATTTTTTACCGAGAAGATAATATTGTGTATATACAACAATTTATAATTTTTTTGGAAAAATGACACTCCCTCCGCCTCTGAATTATATGCTTATGGCGCTTTTTCTCCCAGAATTATGCATAGATCTATATAAGAGTTAATTCCATTTTTTGTATTAGATTTATAGGTGACAATCCTATTTTAGTCCTTTTTTATTAGAACATGCTCATTTGGTTCTAGTATTAATGTATTATTGTGGTATGGCTATTTTAGTCTTCCGTCAACAAAATTATTAAAATGTTATTAAATAATAAGACATTTGGGTCATTTTTATAAAAGTAACTAGGTTGATCCGCTATATTTTTTATGTTTATTATTTTTTAAAAAAATCATAATTGAAAATCGAAATGCCTTTGTATTTAGCGATATTTAAATTGTTTTGTTGATAAAAGTCCAAAAATAGTCATGTCACATGAATACTAGGACCAAAAGTGAATGTGCTGATAAAAAAAGAACTTAAAATAACTTTCACCTATAAATCTATGATAAAAAATGGAATTAACTCATCCATATAATTAGTCTCCTAATTATTTTAAAATGTGATTTTCTTTCATTTTCTGTTAAATGAACATTTTTACCTTTAAAAATAAGTATTTTTTATTTATTTTTCTTCTCCAATAAATTATTACTTATACATAGGAATTAGAATAAATGTGAAAAAGAGCATACACTATACCAAGGACCTTATGGTTCAATGGTACCAAGTTGCTCCCTTATGTGGGAGATGTTGGGTTCGACTATTTGAGCCTCAATGGAGGCAATTATAGTTACATTTGATGTAGTAGCTTGTATATGTGGGTATTCCCTAGCCTTTCCCTTATAATAATAATAATAATAATAATAATAATAATAATAATAATAATAAGAGCATACACATAATACTTATAAGAGTTAATACCGTTTGAAAGAACCATGGTTGGTTAAAATTTAATAGTTGAAGGACCAGGAGTGGTTAACTTAGACCACGAATGGTTAAATTTGAAAGTCGAAGGACCACATATGGTCAATTTGAAAGTTTAGGACTAAATATGGCAAAACCACTATACTCGGAGGACTCCGGATGGTATTAACTCATACTTATAATTAATAAGTGATGTATATATTATGATCGGAGCAAATTGACCCAAGGAGGCGGAGCAAGGAAGCATAGAGCAGACCTATTATGATCGGAACAAATCGACCCAAGGAGGCATGCTCGGCCCAGCCCCCCCCCCCCCCCCCCCCCCCCAAAAGCCTCGGCCACAATTGATCCGCAGACCCGAGCACGGTCAGTGCAGAAGATGCAACCACCTCCTGATTTAGGAGGGGCGATTGTGTGTTTGTTTTATATAAATACCCCATGTTTTGTCCCATTAGGACACATTCCACATCTCTTACAATATTCTATCTACTTTGTCCTAATCTATCGTTGTAATATGTTTACATTCGTCTTGTAATAGCTCGATAATCCTTATTTAATACAATATTTGGTCTCCGCGAACTCGGTAACAAACGTTTTGCCCATTTTACCTATCCGTTTACATAATTTATCGGGTTTAATAATTCGGATCACCCGGATTAATTAAATCAATCAATAAGCATTAATGAATTATTTGTGTTTAAGTCTTAGTTCTATTACTAACATTAGCTTAAAATTCTAAAAACATAATAAGTTTCAATCCAGGTTATGTCCTTGGTTTTATGTCTGTTTTTTTATGTTAATTTTTTTTGTATCTTATCTATAAATATTGTAGTACATAATTTTTTGGACAAAAATACCCTTTCTATTATAACTTTTGTTATCTTTCACATTATTATTACCATGCACATGCATACACAATATCTTTTTCTTACATTCTTCTTTTTTTGGTTGTAAATGAGGGGTTCAACCCGTGAAAGGATCCTACTAGGAATTCACATCAGGGCTCTGGCCCCTACCCTATCCTCCCAAATCAAGTCGTCTAGATATTGCGGTGGATCAACAACGAGCCTCGTCCCAAGTCCATGCTCCAGCGCCATTGATGCAAGCTTGTCTGCCACTTTGTTTCCACTTCTCATCACATGGATAAATTTTATATCCTGGAACACCTGCGCTTCCCTCACACATAGTCGCATAACATTACTCCCAGCACCCGTAGCCATGCACCCGATGATGCCCTTAATCGTTGCAAGAGAGTCGCTTTCCACCAAGACATTTTGGGCTTGGCGATCGGCGGCCATCCGCAATCCCACTAAGACTGCCCAAACCTCCGCTTCCTCCGCTGTACAAGTCCCTATGTTGTGCGTAACCCCGCTGATCCATCGCCCTTGATAATCTAGTAGCACTCCCCCACAGCCTGCTCTTCTACTGACCCCCTTGCAACAGCCATCAACGTTTAATTTCCACCATCCATGTTGCGGTTTCTTCCAAGTGGCTACGCACTCACCCTGTTGAATGCCCACATGCATCGCTCGATGAGTGTTAAATGCCACTTTCGTCTGGTTGTGTTGGTCTCTTATCCACGCTATCTTCTGCTCAGTACTCGTATGGCTATCCTCAAACACTCTGGCATTCCTCCACCTCCAACACCACCACATAGTAAGCCCGAAAATTTCCGGCCAATCCTCCGGAAATCCTAGCCGCTTATCCGCCCTAACGTTCATCGACAGCCACGTACTCCAATCAGTCCCCTGTAGCAGCTGTGTCGTCCGGCGCGGTATGAGCCTCTCCCATATGCGCGCTGCCTCGCATGCTCTGAAGATATGGTCCAAGTTTTCTGGAATGCCTGCACAAGAAGAACAAAACAAATCAGTTGTGAAGCCCCTTTTCGATCGTTCTACATTCGTCATGAGCCTCCCTTGTTTAACCAACCACATAAAGTGATTGACTCTGTTCGGGAGTCTTAGCTTCCAGATTCTCTGCCAATCGTCATCTACGTTATCATCCCTCAAATTCCGCGTGACTGCATAAGCAGACTTTATGGAGAAACGACCATCCAGTTCCATGCTCCATCCCCAATCATCTCTCGCTTCGTTGTCATCAAGAACAACATACGCATGTAGTTTAAGCTTCCAGCTGTCGTCCAAAACACCCTCCAGTCTTTCCCATCGCCACCCTCTTCCACTCTCCCAGTACTCAGCTACTTGGCCATATAGCTCCGGTAAGCTAATTGGACGCAGCATAAAATCGTAGAGCCGATTGCCTTGAACCCATCTGTCCATCCAGAACCTTGTCCCCCAGCCATTGCGAACCACTTTCGTTAACCCCCTGTCCAGAATCCCGGATGCACTGCAAATTCCTCTCCAGGCGTTTGAAGCAATCCTGGGGACGTCCGCTCTCCATCGGCCATCTCCTAATCCATACTTAGTTCGGAAGACCTGCGCCCACAAGCTGTCTCGTTCCGTGAGAATCCGCCATCCAAGCTTCGCCATGAACGCAGAGTTCACACTGTTTAAACTTCGCAGACCTAGACCGCCAACTTCCTTGGGCTTCGTCACGGTATCCCATTTTACGAGACTTACCTTCCGTTCGTCCCCGTGACCACCCCAAATGAAGCGCCTGGTAATCATCTCCAATTTGTTGCACACACCTTTTGGCAGTTGTGCGGTTTGCATGGAATACGTAGGAATTGCGCCCAAGACCGACTTGGCCAGTGTGACCCGCCCCGCAAAGGATAGAAGCTTGCCACGCCACCCTTCAAGCCTCGCTGTTACACGGTCAATTAGGCCGGAGAACGTCGCTTGCGTGACTTTGCCATGCAAGGATGTCATCCCTAGATATCTACCCAAATCCGTTGTAGCTGGAATATTCAGAATACTCTCGATATCTCTTGCAATGTCTGGCTTAGTATTCTTCAAAAAAAAGACATGTGATTTACTCAAGCTGACTTTCTGCCCGGACGCCTCACAGAACCGCGCGAGGCATTGCTAGATAACCCTGACCTGTTCCACTGACGCCTCCGAAAATAGAACCATGTCATCCACGAAGCAGAGGTGTGACAAAACTGGACCTGACGGCGATAATTGGATTCCCGTCCATCGTCCATTAGTTACTTCGTTTGTAATGCTTTGACTTAACCGCTCCATACATAGCACAAAGAGTGCTGGAGACATAGCGTCTCCCTGTCTTACTCCCCTTTCCGGTTTAAAGGCAGGTAGTCGGCTACCATTCCACGAAATGGACAAGGACGTCGTTCGTACGCATGTCATTATAAGACGTGAGGTAGCATCGTTGAAACCTGCATCAAAAAGAGTATCATTAATAAAATTCCAAGATAACCTGTCATAGGCCTTTTCTAAATCAATCTTAATCGCCATCAAGCCTGTATTTCCTTTTTTGATTCTCATGGAATGCATCACTTCCTGATAAATAAGCACGTTGTCCGAGATTTGCCTGCCTGATACAAAAGAGCTCTGACACGGTCCCACAAGCATTGGCAACACGGCCTTAAGCCTATTGGTTATCGTCTTGGTAATGATTTTGTACGACACATTGCACAAACTGATAGGCCTAAACTGTTTGATTGTTTCCGGCGACCCGACCTTCGGGATTAGGGTCAGGAGGGTGTCGTTCACACCATCGGGCAAAATTCCCGATTGAAATGCATTTTTTACCATCCAAAAAATGCTGTCCCCCACTGTATCCCAAGTCCTTTGATAAAAACCTGCGTGTAAACCATCTGGCCCGGGTGCCTTCCATGGGCTCATGTCAGTCACTGCTGCGTGTACCTCTTCCTTTGTTACCTCCCTTTGGAAGCTGGCCCATTCCACTTCGTCCAGAACCGGGAAGAAGCCCCTCACAGCCCGCGAAAGGTCCGTGCCTGTATCCTTTTTGAAGAGGTTTATGTAGAAGTCCTGCACCAAATTTCGTAGCTCCTCCGTGTCAGTGATCCAAATGCCATTATCATTCTGCAGGCTAAGGACTTTATTTCGGGAGCGCCTCATCAACGTTGCCGCATGATAAAATTTTGTGTTTCGGTCTCCCGAGACTATCCATTCCTCACGCGATCGTTGGAACCATTTCAACTCTTCTTGGTATAGAGTCGTCTCTAGCTCTTGCTTGAAATTCTTTTCTAGCGTGACAAGCCCCTTGTGGCGCGCACTAGTGTTAATCTTCTGGATCCCCCCGATCCGTGCCAAAAGAGATCTTTTCTTAGCTTCAATGTTACCAAACACATCCTTGTTCCATTCCGTTAGAGCCGCTTGTACTTGCTGAATGTTCTGCACTATGTCTTCATTGGAACGCCACGCTCGGTTTACCACCTCCGAGAAACTGTCATTAGTCATCCACGCAGCTTGAAATCTGAACTTGAACTCTGTGGGCCTGACGCCTTTCGCCGTTGTCTGAATAAGGATTGGTGCGTGGTCTGAGGCGATACGTGGCAGATGCCTTACCTCGGCTTCAGGGAAGCGTTGCCGCCAAGGCATATCACACAGCGCTCTGTCGAGCCTAGCCCCTTTACGGGTATTAGCATCCGCTCCTCTCACCCACGTCAGTTGCGGTCCCACGAAACCTAGATCCACCAAACCTTCCTCCTGGATCCAATCAACAAAGTCAGCACTTCGATGCGCATTGTAAGCGGTGTAGTTGAGAGTCTCGTTGCAACAAGTTACTGTATTGAAGTCTCCCGCTGCGAGCCAGGGGTGTAGGATATTCCGTTGGTTCGCCCTAAGTGCACTCCATAGGCGTCGTCACAGGTGTTGAGTCGGGCTGGCATACACCACTGCAAGCACCCATGGTGGACCACTGAGCTCCTTGACCTGTAATAAAATGAATTGAGGGTGAGTAAACTCTACAGTAATATCCAGAGGTTTATTCCAAAGAACCCATATTCCCCCGCTAAAACCTATAGCCTCCACTCGGACCCAATCATCAAAGCCGAGTTTGGAGCAAATATCATTAGCATGATCACCCGAAACTTTAGGCTCCACCAAGCCAATCAGATCTGGTTTGTGGTTCTTGAGAAGAGTTTTCAGGATTCGCTGGAAATTCCTCCCTCCAGCGCCCTGACAATTCCAAATCAAACTTATCATTAAATCAAAAGAAAAAACCAAACACAGAGAGATTCAGAAATGGTACACAGGCAGCGAGCTCAAGCGGACATTAATCCCGCTTCTCGCTATGTCCCTCAGCTCTTCCCTCCGCATCATTGTCCACCTCCATTACGGCATCACCGTCTTCATCAAGGCTTTCCGGCACATCTGAGTGGTGTTCCCCTGAATTCTCCAGGTTCATCTGTAAACTGCCACCATTCTCTTGGTCATAGTTTACTGTTCTAGTGCAGATATTGAGTCCCCCCTTTGATCCTCTTACTACCACATGTTCTTCCTCCTGTGCTGCTTTCCTATGTGCCCTGCTCTGTCCTGGACGTTCACTCACATTCTGTGCATGGCATCCCTCATCCGTCTGCCTCATACTTCTCCTTTGGCTTCCGCTACGGTTATTCTCCGGCCTCTCCTCCTCTCGATGCCTTGGCTCCTCCCTTCCATTGGGTTCGTTGAGAATTTGTTTTTCGTTTGCGATGACGTTTGGTCGTCTTTCTCTCCCCCCGTTCGCTGCGGTTGCCCCATCCTCCATTTCCAATTCGCTGGTATTTCTCACTGGCTGCTCACCGTTCGCGGCTTCTGCTTCAATATTCACCTCCTCTGCCTCTACATACTCCCCGGCGTCCTCCTGAATCATTAACGGTCCAAATCTAGAATTTTGAATGCCACCCTCGCGATTATCAGCTCCACCCTTCTGTCCCTCCGCCGGTCCCTTTTGCGTTCTTCCTCCCTGTCTCACGCCTGCTCTTGGTTTCCTTCCTGGAGCGATCATCTAAGCCCCAAACGGTGCTGCTCCCACCTGGTCTGGTCGGGGTTCTTCCGGCTCAACCTGTACCGCCTGCGTTCTGATCGTCGTAGGGCATGCATCTGGAGCATGGCCGTAGACATCACATGTGAAGCACACCATGTGGATGCCTTCATAGGCCACAGATCTTACCTTACCTTTGTGGTTGAACTTGGATATCAATGGTTTCGTTATGTCCACTTCAACACAGATCCTCGCGAAGTAGCCCCGGGAAACCAGACTTGTTGCCTGGTCGACGCGGATTGTCCTTCCGATCTTGTTTCCTAGCTTGCGTAGGAATATAATGTTGTAATATTCTGCAGAGATACATGGGATCCTGATCCACACCAGCACCTTCTCCGTGGTATCCTCTCTGGGGTCAAAATCGGGCCTCCATGGTTTCACCAGCAAGTAATGATCCAGCACCATCCATGGTCCCTCAAACATGGCGAATTCCAGGTCCTCCACCGATCCAAATCGGACTAGGAAATAGTCATTTTCGATTGCGATGAGCTCCATACTCCCTTTCGGCTGCCACATAGATCGCAGCCTCCTTAGCAAATAAGTGTAGCCCACTTTCCTTCCCATGACCTTGATAATGAGAGCCTTCCTCCATGGCGCTCGTATAGCCTCCTCCTCCTCTTTCGTCAGGCGGATGGTGGGGCATAACGGATCCTCGTCTTCATCCTCCGATGTACCCGCAGGTTCCTCCTCTATATCATCCTCGATCTGAATCCCATGCGTGGTTGTGTGGCCTGTCACGCATTCCGCGTATGATCTGTTTTGTGGCACCGGTACCTGCAAAGAGACAGGGATCGTAAGCGTAACGTTTGGATTCGAGTCAGAAACTACCTGCATGGGCATCTCAGCGGCCGGCGTCTCGTCCACGATTACCACCTTCTCCTGGAGGCCATCCTCCTCCATCCCATCCAAAGATTGGCTCGCTGAGGCCTCGCCGATATGCTTCGGCTTCTTCTTGCTCCGTTCTAACAGATCTTCTTCTTCCGTCGATCGTTGGCCCGAAAGCGTTCTCGTCATTGCTCCGAAAAGCCGTGTTAGTTTTAAATCTGTGTTTATATTTGTGGGATTGTGATCTCCCTTTTTCTTACATTCTTCAATTGGTAAGTTTGATTTTATTTAGATTTTAATTAAATGTTACCATAGTTATATTTAGTAATATATCATTTCTATAATTCTTACTTCATTAATATTAATATGAATTCTACAACATATATATATATATATATATATATATATATATATATATATATATATATATATATATATATATACACACACACACACACACACACACACACACATACACACATTTATTTAAAAAAATATTTTAATATAAGTATATAACTAAGATTTTAACATTAACTATTAATATTAGGCATATATTTTTGCGCATCGCGAATATGAAATACTAGTATAAAGGATAAGGGTCAAATAAGCAAGTATACTCAATAATGAAATTAGCCCCTCAATTTTTTAAAAGCTCTAATAAAACCCTTTAACTTCTTAAATTAGTACAATCTAACTATTAGCATGTAACCTTCCAATTTTAACAGGTGAACAATGACATCACTATTTTCATGCTAGTCGGCATCATTGCCATCACCAACTTCCGTCGTCGTCGATAGAGAACTACTGACTCGCCTATCAGTCACCATGACCTTCAAGTCGAGCAACATTCTTTTGAAGAAGGTGACAGTCGCTGCCTCCTTCTAGATCGAAAGGAGGTGGGACGTTCTGCCTCCTTCCGATCAAGAAAGATGCAACTTCTACCTCCTTCTGTTCTGGAAAGACCCAAATATTCTCTCCTTTCGTTCTGGAAAGAGGCAACGTTTGAAACAGTTGAAACGGTGGAAATAATCACGCTGATACAATTAATACACATATGAAAAGACGCAATATTAATAATCTAATGGCTTTATAACTCAGATTCCTAAAACAGCTGAATATTTAGGCGGGAAAATGATATGGCAAAAACATTTTGCTATTATATAGAGTAAGAAGTAAGATAAGATAAGATAAGATTTGATCATGACAAAAAATAAGAACATATAGTACAATATTAGTTTTTTTTTTTTTTTTTTTGACTTATAATACGCGTATCTCCGCTACTATGAAATTACTCTGAATTCAAGATGGACCACACACATATTTACATCTATATATAGGGTTCAATGTCAAACTGGATAAGCCTATGAATCAACTCTTACAAAGGGTAAATGTAATTTAAAACTTGTTTATTGATCTTTTAATTATCCAATTATATGAGTAATTCGTTTACCGATTAATCGTTTTCAAAATTGGTACTGAGTGGTGGGGCGCTCATAAATACTAAATTAGGAAGATAATAAATAGTCATTAATGCAGCCTTCGTATATATAGCAATATAATAATTACCCTTTTGGATTAATTTTTTCACCTTTACTCGCATGCACGTCTTCTCTCACGCACAACCTATCTCTAGTTAAGTTTATCCGATCATTATAATAAAACTCCCCCCTACCCCCCCCCCCCCTCACACCCCACACCCTCCACCACCCCACCAACCTCATTTTTTGTTCTCATCAAATCTCCTTATAGTGACCGAATCTCCATTAAATCGTTGAGAGATACAAAGGGCTATACACTTTAAGCAACTTTAATTTTCATAGATTATTCAAACAATTATGGTTGGTAGATTCGACCAAACCCACCCTTCCCCTCCGGAGCAAGACGACTCCGACACCTCACCGGAAAACAGCGCCGACTCCCCGGTTTCCGGCACCGATCACGACACCAAGATCACCAAGGTTTCATTTCCCAAACGAAGGTATATATCTTTTATCACGTAAACATCGTTAATTTATGTTTCACTTCAAGGGTTTTCAATTTTTTCCTCTTTTTTTCTTACTCCATTAATGAGCCGCAGGAAATCTGGTCAGAAAAGAGTGACGTCAGTCACAATTAACGGCGGAGAAATCAGCATTCCGCCGGCGGATTCTTGGGCGTGGAGGAAATATGGGCAAAAGCCGATCAAAGGGTCTCCCCATCCTAGGTATATTTCGATAATCTTCATGGCCGGGAACTATTTTTCTGTTAGGTTTCATTAAATCATGCCAGAATTATATATGTTTGGCTTTTCCATGACCAATAAAGGCTAAGTCTAACACCAGGTGACTAAAAATTGTTGGGCGAAAATCGATAAAAGGTAAAGGTCAAATTCAGCACTCACCATAATACAAAATATGATGGGGTTATAAGAAAATGAAGTTATGTTTTGATTATCAGCTATATTATAACTTTTGCATAAGTGGTAAATGTTTGATCTTAACAATGTTGTTGCAGAGGATATTACAAATGTAGCAGTTCAAAAGCGTGTCCGGCGAGGAAACAAGTGGAGAAGAGTCGGTCGGATCCGAACGTGTTACTGGTAACCTATTTTTGCGAACACAACCACCCTCGGCCGGCCGCCAGGAAAGCCGCCGCGACGGCACCAGACGCGGCGGTTTCCGACGACACGATGCGGCGAAGGGCTACAAGCGACCATTCTAGTCAATCAGAAGGCGATTCCGGGGAAAGGGTCGCCGCCACATGTCACAAATCTCCCCTCGCCGCCGGCAATGAGGTGGATTGGTTCTTGAATTTCGAGCCCGCTACACCGTTCGCCATTCTCGACGAGAGTCCCATGATGACGCAAACTAAAGTTACCGACACCGACGACGTGCCGCCGCCACCGCCGCCGCCGCCGGCGGTCTTCCCAAACCGGGTAGAAGAAGACGAATCCCTTTTCGCCGATCTCGGGGAGCTGCCGGAATTTTCCAGGGGATTCCGGCGAGACTGGGGCGAGAGATGACGCCGTGGTGTGGGGACCACATAAACAACTAAATGTGGGGCCCAAAACCTTGTCCTTATTATGCCCAACACGTAATATAGTACTCCCAAGGGGTTTTAGAAAAGGTGCAGTGCTTAACGTGCGCCGTAGGATGCCTACCCAAAGAATAGAAAAAGAAAGAATTGGAATTTCTATTTTTATTTGTTTGGGATTTTTCTTAGGTTTTAGTGTTGGCCGTTGGGGCAGTAACAATAACAAAGTCCAATTGGAGGCATTATTTGGACTAAATCTCATTGTAATTAGCAAAGATTTGCAATGGCTCCCATTGGCGTAATGGTGGGTCATGGTTTTATTTAGAAAATTTAACCATATATGTATATATCTTAGTGATATGAAGGAATAAAGTTTAGAATTTATTTTTGGTACATGATCAATTTTAAGAGTAAAAATGTTATATTCTATAAATAAAGAAATTTGCATATTCAATTCTTATGCTCTAACATAGTAAGATAATAGTTGGCGTATTTTTACTATTTACGATAATTGTGAGATTTTCAATAAATAATAATTGTCTTTTGAAAAATTTTGAATTGGGCGTAATCCATTCTGATCTTGTTACGTGTTATCTTATTGATAGGGTAAGTTCATAACTATATAGATTCGTAATTTGTTGAAAGCTAGTTGTTGTGAGATGCAAAAGTTTAGGGATGTTTATGTCCAATATATTTTTAGAGAGCAAAATAGAATAGTCAATTTTTTTACGAGTTCCTGGAGGTCTCAAAATTAGCCTAAAGTATGATAGAGATAGTGTTTGTTGGGTTAGAAGGGTATTGGTTCTTTGTAAGTTAGCTCTTTATTAATTTGTCACTTTGGGTGTCCCATTGGTCTTTGATTTTTTTTAAGTGCATATTCAATTCTTGTTAAATGTTAGTGAAAAATGAAATGAAGAAATGAAGTTAAAGAATATTTTCCCCACCAATGGTTAGTTGTTACCTAAAGGGTCAAAGCAAAAAAATATAATTTGAAGAAGTACAATAATGATTTTGGGAAAAAAAAATTCTAGAAGTAAATGAATTTAACTTTTGATAGATATTTTTTAAAATATTTTTATATATTAATGTTGATATTAAATTAAATAATAAATAAGTTAACAATGTAGTGTAATAGTATAAATTAAACTTTTATTAATTATATAAATAATTTGGGTTTAAATCTTTATAATCTTTTATTGACAACATTTTAGATCTCGATCTTTATTTTGTAAAACATATATTCTACTGTGGTAAGAGACAGTTGACATAACATGATGATGTGTCAATGATAATATTGAAAAAATTGTATGACACGACAAAGATAATGAAAAAAAAAAAAAAAACCCATATTTTATCCAATCTACACATATGATTAGCCTATTAAGTGAATCATGGGCAAATTTTATCGTGTAACGTGGTCCATAAAGTAAGTATCATTCTAATTACATTTTAGTTTCATTTGATAATATTGTTATGTTTTTCAATTTCATTTTTCAGATTCACTAGTTTCATTATAGCAATACCAAAATATCATTTTAATTTGTACTACAGTTTCTTTTGACAATATACATTATTATATGAGCTCTATTTTGTTGTTTCATTTTTCACACACGCTTAAGTTAATTATAATAATGCTAAAATATTGTTTTAATTACACTCCACGTTCATTTGACAATATATGTTATTTGACAATATATGTTATTGTATAGTTCTTAATTTCAGTTTCATTTTTCACACACAATAGTTTCATTTTAATTATACTATAGTTTCATTTGACAATATACGTTGTTGAATAAGCTATGTTTTTTAATTTCGTTTTTCACACACACTAGTTTCATTTTAGCAACACTAAAGTATCATTTTAATTTTACTACAGTTTCATTTGACAACCATGATCCACATAGCACTATGGACCATGGTCCACTGTATAACCACCGGTGAATCATGTACTCCAATCTCATTTCATCAAAAACATTCAAAATGTCTAGACCAAAATCTTACTTTACCTTTCTGAAAATAATCCTATTACTTGGGGTAATTCAAGATTCCATGAACCAAACGCCCCCTTAGGGTATCTCACCTTTGCCCTTAATTTGTCGAATTACAAGTAATAAACCACTCTTTTGAAGAGATCATCCTATTAACATTTTTTTTCCAACACAAGCATAAGCTATACTATTATAAATGGCACATACCAATCTCCATTGTTGTATTGTTTTCTTGTTCATATAAAAGATATTTAATCCCACTCATTACTTTTTTCAAAGTAGTATGACCAAAGAATCAATGTCCTCATAATTGAGGTTCGATCCTGTGACCACTCAGGTGGAATGGTAACAGAGGTGCCATCACTCATCACACTACATAATAGTTGGAAAAAATGGTATACATACCGTCATTTGTGTGGCAAATGGCTAAAGATTGATCACAATAGAGTTTGTGAGCTTTGAGAAATTCTCTCACGAAAGGTCTAACCTAAAAAATCATCCTTAAAATATCAAGGGAGATGGGGTTAAGACCAGTGAGGTAAGAAATTTATAACGAGTACCACTTCTGTGGTCAAACGAAATCGTGAAAAGACTTACAACTGACTTATGTCTTTAACTACTCTATATATAATCCTTTAAAGGAGGTCTATACTAAGATAGACTTGACAGAGTTAAAAGTCTATATTGAAATAGGCTTGACAGACATTAAAAGTGTATAATGCGATTAGACTTGCCAGAGTTAAGAGTCCATATTGAGATAGAATCGACATGGTAGAAGTCTATATAGAGATAAACATAACAGACTTGAATACTAAGAGTATTCATAAGAAGTCAAAGAGTTTGACTTTAGTAGAACCTGCTTTTTAGAGTTGGTGTGTGCATTAGAGTTCAAAATTTCTCTAACTCAATGTCACTACGTGTCAGTTTAAGTTCTCAAAACACTGACATTAAGATCAACTCATTTCTATTGCTCAGACATTATCCTTTCTAGCCTTCTACTTTGAATGTGTGGGGGATTGTTGGAAACATTCAAAGCTAAGCTAGCTAATTTCTTGGATCAAGGGATACACGGCTCACAGCTCCCTTCTCCTATGACTTTCCATGGCCAAAACTGTAGTAGGCTGTTGGATTATTCACTATAAAAACAACATTCTACATTGAGAAGAAACACACCAAAATATGAATACAACTTCATTCTTTCATCTTGTATTCTCTTCGTCTGAGCACTAAGTCAGGTTCACCTGTGCTATAGTTGGTGCGAACTAAGCGTAGTTAGTCTGTGTAGCCTGTCGAAAGCGTGCCAGGATTATGACTGCATGATTACCGGGCAAATAACGCTTTTAAGGTAGTGTTATTATAACACGGTACAGACTTCCTTTCAACCATACTCCCGTTGTCTCCGTGTTTCTTAAAAGGTTTCCAACCTGCGCGTTGATGTTGCGAATATTATTCAACATACATGTCAGTGTAAATTAATTTAGAATGATTTATATATTATTATTATACATGTCATTGTAAATGGATCTTAACGTAGAGAATAATGTAATTTTATATGGTAGTTTCATCACCACCACTTGTAAGGATGGTTGCACATGACCTCATAGAGCTGCATTGGCGGGCTTAGAGAGGTTGATTTGTTGGAAAAAATAGCTTAAAATGGCATGTTAAGTGGCTATTTTGTGGTACAATTATCAGTGGGGTCCACTTTTGATTTTGGTCGGGTCAAAGTGGATTTGAATTCTTCTTTGTGAGACGAAGATATCGATATATTGTACGCTCAAAACGGATATAATGGGTGAATGAGATATTGATTCTCAAAGTAGACCCATTGAGTTGGAAAAATGAAGGGAAAAAGTGAGCTTTTGTCCCACATTGGTTTGGAAAGAAGATTTGCCCCCCTTTTTATACAAGAGCTGTTTTGAAGCTTGTAGAATTGTATAGCATAGAGGCTCTCTCGCGCGGGGGGGGGGGGGGGGGTGCAAATCAAATTCCAGCTAGTGTGCGCGGGCACGAATGTCGTCCGGAAATTGGACTTACTGAGGTGATAGGGGCCCATGGCCTGGCGGTCGAAACTGGAAATATCGTCCGGAAATTGGACTTACTGAGGTGATAGGGGCCCATGGCCTGGCGGTCGAAACTGGAAATTTCGGCCTACACGAACCTGTCCTGATTTGTGACCATTGGGTGTTCAATTCTGCTGTTACGGAATTAATTCTAATTTTTAATCTTTGAATTGAAACCCGTGTTAATGGTTGCTGTTACAGGAAGGTGGAGTGGGTGCCCTTAAGTGCCTATTAAAAGCTATTTAAATCATCCACCCCTATATAAGAAGGAGTTGGGCAGTAGAGATTTACACACAACAAGAAAGTATCATTTCTGCCTCAAAACTCTCTGCTTCTACTCTTTCTTAAGCCTACTGTTCATAACCTTGCTTTGTTCGCCGGATTCCTTGTTTGGGTGCTCAAACATTGAATCACAACAAGTTTTATCCTGGGAAGCCTAGGCCACAACGCTCCTAGCACTTTTGGGAGGTGGCAAATAAGGCTTTAAGGAAAGAGTGATCGCTTGACTCTTGCTAAAAATCCAACACCAAACACTAGCCAAATTCTCCATCTTTTCTTCTCTTATTTTTCCATGAAAATAATAATCTTATTTTATTTGATTATTATTTGTTTTCACCGACGGATATCCAACAGTCTTAAAACCTTATATCTTCATTTTCCCGTTGGTGGTCTTCTCCGAATTTCCTTGAAGAAAATGGAGCATCCCGTACTGCCAATCGATGGGGAGGATAATGTTGTTGCGGACAACAATGGAGGGAACGGCAACAATGTTGCGAATTCCCAAGCTACACCAGTGAACGTTGGTTCACAAAACGGTGGGAGCACTGAGGGATATATTCTCATGTCTCGGGTACCTTCGGTACCGAGTGGTTCGGCTGAGAAGCCGGAGAAGTTCACTGGTGTTGGGTCGAACTTCAAAAGGTAGCAACAAAAGATGTTGTTCTACCTAGCAACTCTCGGCTTGGCAAGGTTCTTGTCCGAGAGTGTTCCTGAGTTGAAGGAACAAGATGCACAATCCGTGATGGCAATTGGCTATTGAAAGGATTCGGACTTCCTTTGCCGAAACTACATCCTGAACGGATTATGTGACATGCTATATGATGTATATCAAAATATAAGCACATCAAAAGCGTTGTGGGAAGCTTTGGATCATAAATACGGAAGTGAGGATGCCGACTCAAAGAAATTTGTAGTTGGCCGATTCCTCGACTTCAAAATGGTTGATTCAATGACCGTGCTAAGTCAGGTAGAAGATTTGCAATTAATCTTCGACGAGATCCGTGATGAGGGCATGATGCTGAGTGAAGCCTTCCAAGTGGGATCTATGATCCACTTGTTGCCT